GCTGTACTGAAAAAAAGTTGCAGGTGCATTACTGGATGCCTTAAACCAAAAAAATGTCAATAGTCTTCACCTACTTACCAGAACTGCTCCACCAGACATCAGGAGAGTACTAGAAAGCAAAACATAAAACAACTACGAAAATAAGATGCACCCAAGACATGGCGATATTGCAGCTCCTAGTAGTCTAAAATCATGAGAAAGTTTCTTCTCTGCAACACAGCCATTGGATGAAACACCAACAGCCACATAAATAAAATGTGGTAATCACAACTAGAGATAACTCAGGAGGTAATTAGGAGGAACATCAAAGCTACAGAACATCACCCTGCAGGTGCAGAACTTGACTGGCTAACATGGAGAAGCCTGAACGGCCTCCAAACAGGGGGTGGCAAAACTAAAATTAACATGCAGCTGTGGGGATACTCTAATATAACAAACACAATGTGTGAATGTGGAATAAGTTTTCAGACTACAGAACATCTACCAGCTTGTCCATCTATGGGGGCATGATTCACCAATGACAACCTTGGTAAGTCTACAGATTGAGCAATAGTATGTGTCCATTTTTGGACCCAAATTTGGTCCATGGTGACAAGACCCAAGAAGATGCCACTATTGTCAATGGAAGGCAGATTAGCCCAACAGACTGGCCTATTTTGCTACCCAGATGTTGAAACTATTTGCTTCTGGGTAGGTCCTATTGCTCAGAAGCTTCTCAACAGTTATGTATAGCCATTACCTCCTTTTACCCATGCATACACAGGCTGTTTTGAAAAGGGGGTGGCAGCCTTCATTTGTGTATCATTACAGAAAGTATTTAACAGCAAAGATATACAGAACCTGAATCTGTCCCTTTAAAGTGAATGGGATCTGGGCCACTGACTTCAATAGGAGCAAGGACTTAGCTCAAGATGAGCAAGATATGTAAAATTAAATACAAAGATTTGTATATTACAAGTGAATTCACAAGGGCACACCGAACCAAAACAGTAAAACAATGCACGTGCTAACAGAGTATTTCCCATGGGCGTGCCATGGCAGAAGTGTGCCAGAAAAAAACGGATGAATGGAGCCCCAGCTGGGCTAGCCCAGCAGACCCACGAGTGAAGTGTGCTGTCATTTTTAATTTAGAGGGAAAAAGTGTGCCCCAGGTATCATAAGTTTGGAAAATATTGTACTAAGCACACCGGGGAAGCTTGACCCCAAGTAAATGTAAAGCAGGTACTAGCAGTAAAAAGGGAGCATTCTAATTAACACTTTCATGAAAGCTGCTGTTAAGAGGCTAGGGGTCATCATGGCTTTCTGCTTTTTTTTTCCATGCACATTCACAGGTTAATTAAATAAGTTAATTAAATAACCTTATTTTGGAATCAAAATCATTCCAATTGTTAGGGAACCACTGCTTTCTTAAATATTAAACCACATGTTTATTTACAGTATTTCACATATTTTCTTTTGATAGTTACCTTAGATTCTTATACTACTTTCCCTCCCAGAGCACATGACTACCGTCCAATGTTTAATGTGTTTATCCTCAACATTTAACAATTTAATATACTTGAGGGATAGGGAAGCGCCTCTAATTAAGTACTGTTAAATTCACTTTATATGTAGGAAACATAAGTATAGGGAGACTAACAGCATTGGTGCCTAAAAGTTAGGGTGCAGGCAGGGAGGGAGAAGCAACAGTAGGCACAATCTGGCCTAACAGTTGCACAGAAGAGGAAGACCTGATTTTCTGGCCCCTGCTCATAGATTTCATAGACATCAGGGCTGGAAGGGACCTCGGAAGATCATCGAGTCCAGCCCCCCGCCCAAAGGGCAGGAAGTCAGCTGGGGTCATAGAATCCCAGCAAGATAAGCATCCAGTTTCATCTTGAAGGTGTTCAATGAAGGCGCTTGAACCACCTCTGGTGGCAGGCTGTTCCAGACCTTGGGGGCTTGGACAGTAAAGAAATTCTTCCTTATGTCCAGCCTGAAACGATCTTGAAGTAGTTTGTGACCATTCGACTTCGTCATCCCTTGGGGCGCTCTGGTGAACAAACGTTCCCCCAGATACTGGTGGTCACCCCTGATAAACTTGTAGGTGGCCATCAGATCACCCCTGAGCCTGCGCTTTTTCAGGCTAAAGAGCCCCAGGGCTCTCAGCCTGTCATCGTAGGGTCTGCTTCCCTGACCTCTGATCATGCGTGTGGCTCTTCTCTGGACTCTCTCAAGCTTCTCCACATCCTTTTTGAATTGTGAAGCCCAAAACTGGACACAGTACTCCAGCTGCGGCCTCACTAAGGCCGAGTACAGGGGGAGTACTTATGCATTATACTGCACCTGACACAATTATTTGATAAAATACACAGGGTGTTCCTGATGCCTGAATCTAACACTCATTAAACCAATAAACCTAACAAGGATTACTTTCTATGTGTGCAGGGTAGAAGTTCTCTCTCAATGTTGGTGGTTCCAAGTCTGAAGACTTGCCAGCACATGACAAACCACTAGCAACTGTACCACCCAGAAATTAGTGGAATTCTACAAAATTCTACAAAACTGTTATACCTGGAAAGGGGAACACTAAACAGCAGCAAAATGCCCTGATGCCTTTACCAGACCCTCTGAACAACTTGACATATTTTATTTCAAAGTGACTTTGCATTTGAAATGGCCACATGCTGACTGTGCCATGCTGCCAAAGTTGCCTTCTGGGCAGCAATTAAATGTGTAATAGAGATTTTTAAGACATTAGGAGGAAAATACAGTTATTTTTAAATAGCTGCAGGGAATGAGTAACAAATCAATTTTTATGCCAAGGTACATTTCTGCGCACACATATTCTGTATGCATTATGTGGCCCCGGGGCAAAACTAGGGGTTTTTTTCCTCTCCAGTAAAGCTTCCAAAAGGGGCAATTCCAGCTTTGTGGTGCAATTATGAGTGGCATTGCAGATAAGATCATAAGTTTAAGATGTTTATTCTTCTGTTGCTGGTAGATATTTAAAGATGTGTCTGTGCACTGCCTGGCCATTTTGGTTTGAATAATTTACTTCATCTGCAGCTTCACTTTCTCCTTTAATTTTCCTTACTACACATAAGAAGTGTCAAATTGACATTTCTTGGAGACTTGGGCCTCTGTCTGAAATGTAATACAACCTTCTTACACAAGGCTGAAAAGTACTGGCTTATCTATATTTCTTCCTTCTCATAACTGATTTTCTAGGCCGTTGATCAAAATGTTTTAATTCACTATATTTTCCCATCATAAAAACATATCATGGGCTTCAATCAACTTAAAACTGATTGGACAACTACTGCTCACAATTTCCTTCATCTGTAAAATTCAGTTTCAATAAGGTCTACAGGCTAAAAGCAGAAAACATTTTCTCTAAATTTGATATGCTAGTAACACAGAACAGAAACTGGAGCACCCTAAAATGGAAGGAGACAGAAGGCTTCGCGTCACTGAAGAGATGCAAATGTATGAGAAGTTTCATTTAAAAAATAAAATATTTCATACAAAGCAGCTTTTTAAAATCAAAAACAAGCTCAGGGTACAGTAAACTGCCCTTTCTGTCTGTCTGAGGGTGATTTTAATTGTCATGTCACTTGAAATTTTGGTCTCAGATGCAATCACTCAGCACACAAAACTTCCCGATTCTCCTGCTCTCTGCCCATTCCTTATGCTTCTCTTCATGCTGCATCTTTCATTTTCCTCTCAGTCTGGAGGTCTCTCCTCCACCCTAAGATGTCCATCTAATATTTCTTACCAAACTCTCCCCCATTGCTCCCCTCTCCCTGCACCCTTCCTAGGGGCATTAGGAATGATTCAGTACTGATGCAGCTGATGAGGAAATGTGCATTTAGGACTTCAGAGATAATACTTTTTCATGGACTGTCTCTGTATTGCAAAGTAAAAAATAAGAGAGAGAGAGAGCACAATAAGGTAAGTGACTGAATTTTAAAATACTTCAAAAAGCAGATGCGTCTGGAAAACCTTAATTATTACATGTGTTCCTCACATCAGTAACATATAGCTAATACAAAAGTTATTTGCATTAACTACAAGCAGCATCCCCACTAGGACTCAGAGCCCACTTTGTTACTTAGGCACTACAGCCAAGCAACATGTTGAAAATTCACTCCTTTGGTGAAATGCTTCGCCAAGAACAAGGCTGCTGTCAAATATGGTGTGTCCTATAAAATCAGGACCAGTGGCTAATCATTTCGGTTTCCTTTCCCTTCTCTCTACTTTTCTCTTGATCTGCTGTTCCTACAGGTGCCCTTCCTCCTCCCACTATCACACAAAGGTCTTCTCTTCATCCTCCTCCCCCTCCTTGCCTTAATCCCTATCCTCTGGGGGAAAAGGTAGTGCCAAGAGGAAAACTAATTCAAGAAAAGGACTTCCTCTTCTTGTTCCATCTGAAGAGACCAAGGACCTGCTGCAAGTCAAGGCATATATGAGGCAGAGTATATGAACTTGATCTATGTTTGTCAACTGACAGGAGAGAGCGAGAGGGCAGCAGGGTCTGATGGGATATAAATTGCAGGAAGAGAAACTATAGCACAATCAGCTTTTGTTGCTGCATGAGAGTTTCTCAAATAATTCTGCTGCTGCATGCCCCTATTACCCATGACACCTCTGTACAATATTCGCTCTTCCAGGAGGTTGAGACCCTCTTTTTCTTGCAGAATAATTTTTCCTGGATGCCCCTCCAATGGCAGTCCTGCTTAGAGAATTACAATCTACCCCTGCTCTGTTCAGCTGGAGGAATGGGAGAAGAGGAGGTCTGTCAATGTTTGGTGGGCAATGTAGAAGTGGACAACAGCTTGGGAAGCAGTGACCTTGAGTTGATTGGGTTCAGGATCTTGAGGAAAGAAAGGAAGGAGAGCAGCAGAGTAAGGACCCTACACTTCAGAAAAGCAGACTTCAACTTTCTCAGGAAAATGATGGACAGGATCTCCCAGGATGCCAGTCTGGGGGGGAAATGAGTCCAGGAGAAGGGGCTGTACCTTAAAGAAACCTTACTGAGGGTGAAGAAATGAACCATCCTGTTGCGCAGGCAGACTAGCAAGTATGGCAGACCAGTTTGGCTTAGCAAGGAACTCTTCAGTGAGTTGATTATGAGCCAACAGTGGGCCCTTATTGCAAAGAAGGTTAACAGAATACCACGCTGCATTAGTAGCAGTGTTCCCACCTGATCGAGTGAAGAGATTATTCCCCTCCCTTCAGCACTGGTGAGGCCACATCTGGAGTACGGTGTCCAGTTTTGGACCATCCAGTACAGAAAGGATGTGGACAAATTGGAGAGGGTCCAGCAGAGGGAAAAGAAATTGGTTAGGAGGCTGGGGTACATGACTTATGAGGGCAGGTTGAAGGAACTGAGCTTATTTAGTCTGGAGAAAAGACTGAGGGGGGATTTAATAGAAGCCTTCAACTACCTGAAGGGTGGCTACACCGTGGATGGAGCTAGATTGTTCTTGGTGGTGGCAGGTGACAGAACAAGAAGCAATAGTCTCAAGTTTCAGCAAGATAATTTTATGTTAGATATTAGAAAGAATGTTTTCACTAGGAGGGTAGTAAAGCACTGAAACAGGTTACCCAGACAGGTGGTGGAATCTCCATCCTTGCTGGTTTTTATGACCCAGCTAGACAAAGCCCTGGCTGGAATGATCTAGTTGGGGGTGGTCCTGCTTTGAGCAGGGGTTGGACTAAATGACCCCCTAAGGTTTCTTCCAACCCTAAGTTTCTATGACTGTAATGTGATGGGGAAAGGAGGCGGACAGTCCCGCTGACAGACGAAGCCCCCTGACAGATGTTAAAGTAAGGATGTGATAGGATCTAATGCAGAATACCAACAATCACGCTTCCCACCACACCACATGTGCAAAGCAGGATCCTGCATCAGATACTATTGTGCCATATGCTGGTGAATGGGAAGCCTCTTGCCGGTCTCTGCACCAGCAAGTAGCAAGCTTGGCTCCCAGCCATGGGAGTGCACCATACACTCCCATGGCTAGGAGCCCTGTCAGAGGATCAGGGTGTCCAGCTGAGGAAGCACACCATGCTCCTTGCTGCACAAGTCCCATTCAGCTGACCAGAGCTCCCAGCCACAGGAGTGCAGGGTGTGCTCCCTATTACACATACTTTATGCCTTATTCCTCAATTTATCATGCCATTAATTGAGTGTACGTTTGGCAAGGTCACCAATTAAGATGTGATTAACTAGTTAACCACGTCTTAAGTGTAATGTCTGTCAGACCTAGCTCATCTCCATGGCTGTGGTAGTGAAGACATAATTTCAGGCAAGTCCACAGTACAGTAAAAGGAGCAAGTATGTTGTAAAGTGAGGACTTGAAGCCCATTGCACTGGCCAGCTTGCTTCTGCTCCATGGTGTAAACACTATTTTTAAGATCATCTCTCTTTTATTTTTGTAGTATTGCAGCCTTACCCAAGTTACCAGTAGAAATAAAAACATATATAAAAAAAACCCAACCCTACTTTGCTTGGGATTTCAAATGGTTAATGAAACATTAAAACAGTATGAAAAAATTCCTTTATTTAGGGGTCAAGGCATCAGTAGAACACAAGCCACACATTTATTGAGACAAAGGCTGACAGGTCCTCTTTGGCTCCTGAGACAAAAAACCCAGGGGTGAGTCTATGCAAATACTCCCCCTTGGATAACATTGTAGGTGCCACACTTTAAATATACAATACCAAACTAGGTTCTAATCTGAAAGCTGCTTATCACAGACAGGTCCTTCTGTCCATAGAGTGCGCCAACATAGTCAATGAACATAGGTGTCCAACTGCACAGAGCATCTTGCAGGACTAGGGCTTACGTTTTTTATGAAGCAGGGGCATTTTAAGAACCATCTCCCACCGTCTCATGACACTGTGCAAGTTAGTGTGCAAGATGAGTAGAATTTTCAGACCATGAATATATGTATAAAATGATACACAGCTTTGCAGCCTTAAACACAAATGACTGCATGCACAAACTGGAACACCTTTGTAAACTAGGACACCTCCAACAATTTAAAACAAAAAGCCCAGTCAATTCAGAAAGAATACGTATGCATTTTCAGATGCACGATGCCTAAAAGGAAAGGTGTTTTTATCATCATCCATGTAATCAATAGAATCAAGCCTACATTAGGAAATTACAGCAACTTCTTCCATGCAACCTTGGGCAAGAGAAATCTACTTTGTAAGTGACTTTCACAGCAGATGACTGCTGTGACACTGACATCAACCATTTCTCAGGTCAGTGTCTGCCTTTCATAATCAAGATTTCTTTCTGTCACTCAAGAATTATTGGAGCCTTCATGACTTTCATGCTTTCATGTGCAGTAAAACTTATTGCTAGAACTAAGAGTCTGCTTAATCCCAAATGCCAAGCACTGTCTGGTTCTTGTAACACAAAACTGCTTCAGGAATTTTAGTAATGGTCTCAATTCAGCATGTAAAACAAGGCAGATTGTGAATGACGCCTCGTTGCTGCTACCTTCTCATGGGATCCTTTTTTGCTCATAATACCCAGGTGGCCATAAAAAAGCACCTTCTCCCTAGCTCTATTCCTCCTGTGACACCACACAAATTGGGCAGAAAGGGTAAGGATGTGAGAATCAGAAGTCACAACATGAAGTCACAGACCTCTATCACTACCACCCACTTTCTCTCTCCAACTGTTTGCTTCTTTCACGTAAAGCAAAATGGATCATCCAGCCAGCTGCACCAGTAGCAATTCTTCAGCAGCTGATTTCATAGATTTCATAGACATTAGGGCTGGAAAGGACCTCGGAAGATCATCGAGTCCAGCCCCCTGCCCAAAGGGCAGGAAGTCAGCCGGGTTCATAGGATCCCAGCAAGATGAGCATCCAGTTTGCTCTTGAAGGTGTTCAATGTGGGCGCTTGAACCACCTCCGGTGGCAGGCTGTTCCAGACCTTGGGGGCTCGAACAGTAAAGAAATTCTTCCTTATGTCCAGCCTGAAACGGTCTTGTAGTAGTTTACCATTCGACCTAGTCGTCATCCCTTGGGGCGCTCTGGTGAACAAACGTTCCCCCAGATACTGGTGGTCACCCCTGATAAACTTATAGGTGGCCATCAGATCACCCCTGAGCCTGCGCTTTTCCAGGCTAAAGAGCCCCAGGGCTCTCAGCCTGTCATCGTAGGGTCTGCTTCCCTGACCTCTGATCATGCGCATGGCTCTTCTCTGGACTCTCTCAAGCTTCTCCGCATCCTTTTTGAATTGTGGAGCCCAAAACTGGACGCAGTACTCCAGCTGCGGCCTCACCAAGGCTGAGCACAAGGGGAAAATGACGTCCCGGGATTTGCTTGAGAAGCATCTATGGATGCAAGCCAACGTTTTGGTCGCTTTACTAGCCGCAGCATCACATTGCAGGCTCATGTTCATCTTGTGGTCAATGATGACCCCCAAGTCATCTGTAAAGCAGTGATTTTCAGTCAGGGTGCCATAGTACCTTGGGGTGCCTTGAGATTCTTTCAAGGGTGCCATGGAGTGCCATCCAATGTTAGCACTGCTAGGTGTGCAAACATGTTTCACAAGATAAATCAAGATATTTCAAATATTAATCCATAGTGTTAAAACCATTCTGACCTGCTGTGGCTCTTTGCAAGAAAAAAATGCTCTAATATTTTTCTGTAGGCAAAAAATTAGTGAAAACTAAGAGACAATTGGCCAGTTTCTCCAAGAGGCGATCATGGGACACCAGATCGAAGGCTTTTTTGAAGTCAAGATATATGACATCAATCTCTTCTCCCTTGTCCAGGTGTTAGGTCACCTGGTCATAGAAGGAAATGAGATTGGTCAAGCAAGACCTACCCGCAACAAACCCGTGCTGGCTATAACAATGTAAGTAAGTCAGATCTTGTTTCTTATTCTTTTCCATTTCTCCCAGTTGGTGCAAAGCACACAAACACGGACAAGTCAATGGGACAGCATGTGATGGCAGCACCAATAAAGAAAAAAAAAAGGAACCATGCTTCAGAAATACACTTGCAGTAGCAATCAGTGGTGTGGATGCCTTATATATGCCTTATATATCCAACATGTCACACTTTATATTTTAGTAAACAAGGGCTTTTCAGTTCTCATGGAAATCTAGGACAGCATACCTGCCTGTGGCAGGGGGGGGGGGGGGGGGGTTGGTTTTGGGTTGTTGTTGTTTTTTGTCATACGTGGCTTGGAAACATTGAAGGTCAAATCTGAAAGGATGCATACATCTTTAATTTCCCAGAGGACAACTGGTTTGAAAAATGAAGAGCAACTTGCCTAGACATTAACTAAAAATAGCACAGGGAAGCGAAGCAATCAAAGTGCTGCTAAACAGCTTCTCTGAAGTTCACACAGCAGATGGCTAAAAGTGGCATTTGGAAATGGATGGGCAATCTATTCCCATTTCACTTTCATTTACAGGGAAGCAGGAATACAAACATATACAAGCTAATTTGTCAGTCTACTCCAAGGATGTCAAACATATGGCCTGCAAAACCACTCTATGCAGCCTGGCAGGCCACCCAAAGTTGGAAGGCATGGCCTACTGCAAAATTCAGCAGTGAGTTTGGCTCGCTGCTGCTGCTGCCCTTAGCTACACTGCTGTTGCCAGATCCCTCCCACCTCCAGAAGACCCCGACCTGGAACCGTTCAATGTGTATAGACCTGCCTCCAACTGCCGCTGGACCCCTCCCTGCAACCACCATGCCCCAAGCTGTTTCCACACCACAAGGAGCTGAACATAGTCCAGCTCAGGACCCCAAGTGAGTTTGACACCCCTGATGTACCCCATAAAATGAAATAGTTGTCAGAAGGATGAATCATTAAATAACAAAGCCTCATGGAGACAAAAATATTGTTTGGTTTGTTTTTGTTTTTTTTCCTCCTTCACATCTTGCAGGCTGTACAATAAAAGGAATGTTCTGAAGGTAGTAATTACAGCAAAATTAATTGATGGTGCTAATCATTACTGTCTCTTCCCCAGATCTTACACAAAGGATTCAGTGATTGACTTGAATTTAGCATAATTCTCCACT